GATTAAATAGTTGTTACATTTAGCATATGAAATGTGAATTAAAATGTACCAATTATTATGTCCCATAATGGTTGCTACATTTGATATATGAAATGTTTATTAAAATGCAATAACTATTAGAGGACAGATATTAAAAATGTTACTCCTGATAACTGGGTTTGGTTTGGTTTGTTTTGTTTTACCGCTTATCAACCTCAATAGGTTATTTAATGCCGACAAGATTTTTATTGCTAGCAATATTTTTTTCCAAAAATGTATTGCTGGTAATACTTTTTTTCCTTTTAAAATGTATAATGCTGGTAATATTTTATTTTTCAAATTTATCGTCATACCCAGCACGCGGATGTAGTTTATCGTCATACGCAGCACGCGGATGTAGTTTATCGTCATACACAGCACGCGGATGTAGTTTATCGTAATACCTAGGACGGCTGATAACTCGGTTTGGTTTTATCAGGTCCTTATTTTTGTCAACAGACTATGTGCCATTTTCCAGAGTTTTCAGATTATGACTAAAAATGAAGTCGTTTCGATTTTTTTTTCAAGTTTCATGAATAAAAGCAGTTCAAACTATAGTAAAATTACATTATAATGATAGAAATGAGTTAAAATACAACCCCCCCAAACAAACAGATATAAAGCTTTCACTGTGACAATTTTTTTACGAAGTCAGTTAATGTGCTCATTGATGTGGAACTGTAAGATTTCTACATACAAAACAAAAGGAATCAGGGCTGTTTTTGTATTTGAACTTTCTAGTGCTTGACATATTGCTTCATTGTTCTGCCAATTTGTAAAGTTATTTAAAGCCCTTAAGTCATATGACTTTAAGAGAATCTGAATTATAAACTTAAAATGTGATTTCAATCGGAACTTTATTATGAGATAGGTACTTACAATCTATGGAATTAAATGGATGAGTAAGTACAATATAAATTGTCTAATTAAATCAACTATTTTTGATGACAAAATTACTCACTAAATCATATGCCAATTCAAAATTGTTCATACCAAAACTTAATTAACTGACTGATTGAATTGGTTGATTAACCCCCGAAACGAGTCGCTTTTATATATTTTAGTTGTCCTTCTGGAATATTCTGTAGAAAACAGGGACGCGTTAGAAAATTCTAGAATTTTATTGTATTTTATCTTAATTTACTAATATAAAAATGGGTTAAAAATGACAAAATTAAAAATATTATTAGAGTGTTATATATAAAAGTATACATAATACGACAATACCATAATAACAGGTACAAATACCTAGATAAAAGGCATAATGTGTAACTGCAAAAAGACTTAGCGAGTATTGAGGAAAAAAAACTCTTTTTATGAGTACGGAGAAAGAGAAGGAGTGTTGAGCAAAATCAGGACCTGGCAGAGGAAAATCGAGTAAAGATTTATGCTCAACGCACCCAAATTACATAAAACTAAATAACGTCACACATTATGAAATGGACAAAGTCCGACAATTATTTTTTTAAGATATTTTTTATGTTTATACGTTTTTTTTATAGATACAAATATTTAAGTAAATGCTCTGTTTATAATAAACAGTATTAAACAACCTTTACTGGCCTGAATGTCCGAGAAATTTTCATAGAAAATATTCGTCCTCCGACAGGAATCGAACTTGTATTCTATACGGAACCGTCATATAGCCTAGTGTGCCTTAACCGATTGGGCCACAGAGGAGCGTTCGGTTCGCATGATCGATTTTACTGCTTTTAAACATAATTCTCTATGATTTTCTCTCATACATTCATATCTGCTCAATGCGTATCCAAATGTAAACAAATGACGTCACACATTATGAAATGGACAAAGTCCGACAATTATTTTTAAAGATATTTTTTTATGTTTATACGTTCTTTTTATAGATACAAATATTTTAAAAAATATGCGTCCTATGAAAAATTTCTTAATTTACTTGAATATTTGTATCTATAGAAAGAAAGTATAAACATAAAAAATGTCTTAAAAAATAAAACTAAATGTCAAATCTAATACAATAGACAAAAAAATTGAAATTTATTGCCCAGTGTTATTGTTATATTTACAAACGTAACAACTATTATGGGACAGAGACAGTAAAAATGCTATCTCTGTCCCATAATGGTTGATACATTTAGTTAATGTAATTTGTATACAAATGTAGCAACTGTTATGGGACAAAGACAGTAAAAATGCTACCTGTGTCCCATAATGGCTGATACATTTCGTGAATGTAATTTGTATAGAAATGTAACAACTATTATGGGACGGAGATATTAAAAATAAACAAAACACACTCTGTCCCATATTAAATTGTTACATATGTATATATACATCGGTAGCATTTTAAATATCTCTGTTCCATTAGAGTTGTTACATTATAATGCACATTTTATATGATAAATGCAAAAACCATTATATTTTATTTTTTTTACACTGATGTTCACCCTATATAAGGCCCAAGAGCCACTCGAGGTAAAGTGTTACAAAGTAAGAGGCACAGTTTATGCGGATATATGAGGAAAAAGGTTAACTCCAGACTTGAACAGGTTAAGATTGTAGTGATCAGGGAAGCATCCTCTTGGGAGCTGGTTCTACAGAGTAGTCGTTTGTGGGAAGAAGCTGCTAGAGTGGAACTTATGTCTCACCAGTGGAATACGAAGGGAATCAGGGTGGTTCACAACAATGTTCGTGACATGGCGGGTCTTTTCAGGGAAGGTTAGAAATGGTGTCACTAAGGAATGAAGTTAGTCCGAACACTTTCCAAGGAAATAGCGATAGAATAGTGAGAGAATTCGGTGTTTCGTTTGTGGGTAAGGAGTTGTTAAGTTTGGTTTAGTTTATCTTATTTTACAGCATATCAACCTCGATGGGTTATTTAATGCTGACAAGATTTTTTAGGATAGGTTCGTATGAATAGAATATATATTCTTTGCAATAAATCAGTTTGTAGATCAGGTTTCATTGATGTATTTTTGTAAAGAGGGTTTTTGTCAGAGTCTGGTTTCATTGATGTATTCTTTTCAGATATACTTTTTGTCAGGAAATTGGTTTTATTGACATTTTCATTTGGTTTGTATTTTGGTGGTCCGGGTTTATTTTGCTTTACAGCATATCAACACCTCAATGGGTTATTGAAGACTTTTAGGATGTATTCGTATGAATAGAATAGAATATGTATTCTTTGTAAGAAATCATTTTCTAGGAGATCCGGTTTCATTGATTTATTTTTGTAAAGTGGGTTTTTTTTATCGAGAGTCAAAAATGCTGGTAATATCTTTTCCCCAAAATTGTATTGCTGGTATTTTTTACTAAAAAATATCTATTTTTATAGTTTCATAGTGTTTTGACCTCAGTTTGGGAGTTAACGATTTGCCAATAGCTGGGATCCTAATAGGTGCTACCACCCTGGGTCAGGGTGGACCTGGGAACATCAGCTATTAAAAAGAGGTCAGGCTCTTCAAAACTTCCCGATTATAAGCCTTGCTTCCGGATTTAGAAAGGGTGGATAGTAATTCTTCAGTCCCAAGGATGCGGAGATACGTTTGGACTCTATCAAGACTAGAAAGTGAAGACTGGGCAGCTCCTGCGGATATGTGGCACATTTACTCAATTTCGGCCTCAACTGGGTCTTGTAAAGGTAGAGGATAGCATGAAGAGCCAGGTAGTTACCGAAGCGCTACAGGGATCCGATCATTTTCTCAACATCTCTAGCGATGGCGCGTATGTACGAAATCCACTTGAGGTCTGGGTTGAGTCCCTGATAGGCGCTCAAGGCACGGGGCCTTCCCGACTTAAAATCCGTTCATCGCCATTGGTGAAAGTTCTGGGTCCGATCAGTGATGATGGAATGTTACTAGTTTGGTTTTCAAACCATTGAATGTGACCAGTCAGTTTTTCCCTCACTGAGCTGTTAGAGCTCGGTCAGAGGAGAGATCAGCTACCAATCTCTGGTCATCTAGAGTTTTGGAGGTGCATCCATTATCCGTTGTATCATCAGCATAGATATTCACAAAAGTATACTCTTAGGTGGATTATTTATGTAAAGTAGAGAGTTGGAACGAGAAGTAAGCCTTGGGATGACTTGAAGTTGGTGAGCGAGTTGAACTTACATCTCACTAACGAAATACGGAGGGAATGAGGTTGGCACGCTAGAATGGGCGTGGCATGGTGGGTCCTAGCCGTGAAGGTTAGAACTTGTGGAACTAACGAATGTAGTTCGTCTGAGCATTTTCCATGGAAATAGCGATAGAGCAGCAAGAGGCTGGCGACATCTCGTCTGCAAGAGAAGGGTTGTAGGGTGGAAAATAATTCATCACCCACAAGGACGCGGAGACGCTCTTGAACTCTATCGAGACTAGAAAGTGGGAACTGGGCAGTGGGCAGCCCCTGTCCATATATAGCAACGATGCTTCATTTTAGGTCTGTTCTGGCTCTTGTAAATATGATAGCACGAAGAGTCAGGTACTTACTGGAGCGGTACAGGAGACAAGCCCTTTAGCGATGGATCAGGTGTACGAGTTCCACTTGAGGTCTGGATTGAGTTTATAGTCCAGGTAGGAAAATCCCCTACCTTGAGCGCCTGAAGGAAAATCCAATCATCGTGTTTGGTTTCTGAGGTATTGAATGTGAACAGCCAGTTTTGATCGCTTGGGTCAGAGGTAGCATTTTTACAATCTCTGTCTTATAATAGATGTTACATTTGCATACACATTTCATGCACTAAATGTAACAAACATTATGGGACAGATAGTTAAAATCCTACTTTGTCCCATAATAGTTGTTAAATTTACATATATATTTCATACATTAAATGTAACAATGATTATGGGACAGAGATAGTAAAACACACTGAATTTCCATATTTCTTATACTAAATACGCTTATAAAATGCTTATTCTGTCGCTAATGGCAAGATTTGCTGTTTCTTTATAAGGAAACATTTAGCTTTTATTGACAAAACTGCCTTACTCTCAGCTGACTTTTATAAAATCTTTCTCGGCTTACGGTCAAATCACGCTAAAAGCAACGGTTCTCGTTCGATCAACGAGGTTAAGCAGTGTCGTGCCCAGTTAGTACTTAGATGAGGGACCGCTTTGGAACACCGGATACGGTAAGCAACCCCCTTCATTCGAAATATATTTGAGCTTTAAATAACCCACAAAGTGTTGACAAGCCGTAAAAAAACAAAAATAACTCATACTGTTTTTTCTCTCACACTTCTCGCTTCTGGAACTGTGTTCCGGTTTCTGGCTTCCCACTCAACTTTGATCTTAAAAAATTTAAATGCAATGTCAATCGTTATCTTTTGTCTTCTTAATTCTTGTTCTTTTATTGTTCTCTCTCCTTAATAGCAGTTTATCTCATATTCTCTAACACTGAGTGACCCCTTGCATCCTAGTGGCTTTACTGCCTTTGATCTTCATAAATTTAAATGCAATGTCAATCGTTATCTTCTGTCTTCTTAATTCTTGTTCTTTTATTGTCCTCTCTTCTTAATAGTAGTTTTTCTCATATTCTCTAACACTAAGTGACCCCTTGCATTCTAGTGGATTTATTGCTTTGTTTGGCGGTGAAATGTTTAAAAAATCAACCAATTTATTCAGAAAATAGGTTTCTCAAGTCTAGTTATCATTCATTCTTGTATCGATAGAGGTTTCCTTCCTGACATTTTTAAGGCAGTGTGGAAATCCAACATCTTCATTATATAATTATTACTAGAATACCCGAATCTCCGTTGCTACCTTGTTCGAGCAAAATAATTATCCACATAGAGCATATGCCGTAGTATAATGATTAACAAACTAGTGAAATGAGCTCGATTCGCACTGAGTGCATTATTTATTTGATCTTAAGCCATACTTACTAAAGACGTAAATAATTAAGACCTGCTTCCTAAATGAAGTAGCTGGCACCAGCGCTAAGGTTCGAATCCAGATAAAATCCATGATTTTGTATGTCGATTTTCAAGGATGGCAAGCAGGTGCTAGTCCATTTGAAATAATGAAATAATAGACTCCGAGTTTTATGACCAGGACGATAACGTTGTAACCACTCAGCAGCACACACACGGATATTTCGGTTCCTTGTAATCTTTCCGTCTAAACTCTGAAATTTTATTTACTAATTATTTTTTCTTCTTCTCAATAGGAGTAGATAGGTCTGGTTCACACCCCACCCCAGGATTTTGAACAGGAGTATAGGTTTATCCCTTGTTTCCTGTTTAGGATTGGGTTTCCGATTCCTTCTAAAGTCTAGTTCAACTCTATACTTCTAACCATTTCACCTAAACTATGAAATTTTATTTAATAATTATTTATTTTTTCTCCTCAATAGGAGCAGATAGGTTTGCATATCGTCTGGTTCATACACTCTCTCGCTCTTTTGAACAGGAGTAGAGCTTTATCTTTTGTTTCTTGTTTAGGTTCGTGTTTCCGGTTCCTACTTAAAATTTTTATTCTCTTTTATCCCCAGTAACTACTTTTGTATTAGGGCATTGTTTCCTTGCTTGAAGTGAATTGATAAAGAAGAAGAAGAAGAAGAAGAAGAAGAAGAAGAAGAAGAAGAAGAAGAAATTGGTTCGAGACAGCTAAGAAGAAGAAAGAGAAGAAGAAGAAACTGGTTCGTGACAGAGAAGAAGAAGAAGAAACAGGTTCGTGACAGCGAAGAAGAAGAAGAAGAAGAAGAAGAAGAAACTGGTTCGAGACAGCTAAGAAGAAGAAGAAGAAGAAGAAACTGGTTCGTGACAGCGAAGAAGAAGAAGAAGAAGAAACTGGTTCGAGACAGCTAAGAAGAAGAAACTGGTTCGTGACAGCGAAGAAGAAGAAGAAGAAGAAGAAACTGGTTCGAGACAGCTAAGAAGAAGAAGAAGAAGAAACTGGTTCGAAACAGTTAAATAGAAGAAGAAGAAGAAGAAGAAGAAACTGATTCGAGACAGCTAAATAGAAGAAGAAGAAGAAGAAGAAGAAACTGATTCTAGACAGCCAAGAAGAAGAAGAAGAAGAAGAAGAAGAAGAAGAAGAAGAAACTGATTCGAGACAGCTAAGAAGAAGAAGAAGAAGAAACTGATTCGAGACAGCTAAGAAGAGGAAGAAGAAGAAGAAACTGGTTCGAGACAGCTAAATAGAAGAAGAAGAAGAAGAAGAAGAAGAAGAAGAAGAAGAAACTGGTTCGTGACAGCTAAGAAGAAGAAGAAACTGGTTCGTGACAGCGAAGAAGAAGAAGAAGAAGAAGAAGAAGAAGAAGAAGAAGAAGAAGAAGAAGAAACTGGTTCGAGACAGCTAAAAAGAAGAAGAAACTGGTTCGTGACAGCGAAGAAGAAGAAGAAGAAGAAGAAGAAGAAGAAGAAGAAGAAACTGGTTCGAGACAGCTAAGAAGAAGAAGAAGAAGAAGAAGAAACTGGTTCGAAACAGCTAAATAGAAGAAGAAGAAGAAGAAGAAGAAACTGATTCGAGACAGCTAAATAGAAGAAGAAGAAAAAGAAGAAGAAGAAGAAGAAGAAGAAACTGATTCTAGACAGCCAAGAAGAAGAAGAAGAAGAAGAAGAAGAAACTGATTCTAGACAGCCAAGAAGAAGAAGAAGAAGAAGAAGAAGAAACTGATTCGAGACAGCTAAGAAGAAGAAGAAGAAGAAGAAGAAACTGATTCGAGACAGCTAAGAAGAAGAAGAAGAAGAAGAAACTGGTTCGAGACAGCTAAATAGAAGAAGAAGAAGAAGAAGAAGAAGAAGAAACTGATTCGAGACAGCTAAGAAGAGGAAGAAGAAGAAGAAGAAGAAGAAGAAGAAGAAGAAGAAGAAGAAGAAGAAACTGATTCGAGACTGCTAAGAAGAGGAAGAAGAAGAAGAAACTGGTTCGAGACAGCTAAGAATAATAATAAGAAGAAGAAACTGGTTCGAGACAGCCAAGAAGAATAAGAAGAAGAAAAGGAAGAAACTGGCTCGAGACAGCTAAGAAGAAGAAGAAGAAGACGACGTTTAAATATTAATAGAAATTTTTAATCGAGCGAGAGGAGGTTCGAAATTGAACATTGGTTTCTTGAAGCAGAAAATTTCCATAAAAATTCTTCTCTACTCTACGAGAATTTGTGGAAAACCTGGTATAAATATTGTCAGCATGATATGTGTCCTCAGAGAATTGTCAGATAACAGGTTCTTGTCGGACAGAGACTGGACTAACCCCGAGCAGCCGTTGAACACACAGAAAATGTCCGACTCCTGTCAGTCGAAAAATAAAAAAGAAAGAATAAGAAAAATCGTACATCTTGACTGATATATGCAACAATTTGTTATAAGTTTCATTTTTTTTCTTTTCTGTGCTCCTATTCCTTCTAAATAGCCGAGATGAGTCAATGTTCGGTGTTCGAGTGTAAGTAAAGGCCTAGCATTTGAATGCTGATTTTTCAAGGCATGCAAAATTATTAGCGTTGTACAATCTTCCTATCCCGATTTATTCCATCTTCTTATAAAGCTAAACACAGGAGACATTAATTCTTTCACCTTTCTAAATAAATAAAGCTCTATATCGATTTTCTAAGCGTAGCTTACACGTGGCACAAGGCCAAAAGTATGTGGCACGCAGTGAGGATCGAACTAACTATCCAGTTGTAACTGTTTTAGCGAGACAAGCTTGCTATTACACCACGCCGAGGTTTCCAAATAAAAACCGTAGTTTGTAATATAGAAAACATGAAACGTTTTTACCTTTCTTTATTTGTAAGTGAAAAAATTTAAGTTAAAGCATCTCATGAGACAGTTGTTGTATCGTACGGATGACCAAAAGTTAAAAAAAAACTTTATATTATTCCCAATGGGAAAAGTATATACCCAATATTAACAAAGGAAGAACAACTGCTAAGTGCCACACGAAATAGGAAGTTGTGGAGAACCATGATCACCTATATCTTGAAGGGATATAGGCGATCAGGGTGACTTTAAATAGCGCCACTGCAGAATCGGTGTTAATGTATGGTGCCACTGCTTGAATATTAACTAAAATCCTTGAGTCTGATCTTGATGGACCCTTTACTCGGGTGCTGAGAGCTATACTTAGCATCTCTTGGAGACAACATCCAAATAAATCATAGCTCTATGGACACATCCCTGATATTTCTACAATCTTATACAAAAGCAGAATGCACTTTGCAGGACACTGCTGGCGAGCAAAACAAGAACTCGCAAATGATCTACTGCTCTGGACACCTAGCCATGGCACAAGACGGGTTAGTCGTCCACCAACCACCTACCTTGACCAACTATGTTATAATACCGAATGCCGCCCTAATGACCTAATTGTGAAGGATATCGGAATAATACTGAATATATACTGGCAGTAAACCACCAACACACGGATAGAAAATGAGTTCAGTAAATAAGCAAAAATAGAAAGGGGTGTAAGGCAAGGATGTGTAGTCTCGCCAGATTTATTCAATCTAGACAGTGAGGCGACTCTGACACAATTAAAAGTCCTACCAGGATTCATTATTGATGGACATCATCTTAACACCGTAAGATATGCAGATGAGTGTGTTGGTAGCGGAACAGAAAGGAAACTATAAAAACTCTCACAGAAAGTATTGAAGGAAAGCGAGAAGAAAGGACTAAACTCCAATTGCAAGAAGACATAATGCATGGTTGTTAGCAAAAGGAACAGTTCAGATACGGGGGTGGGGGGATCATTTTACAGTCAGTATGCGTGATAATGGTAAAATCTCACAATTTTAGATCTATTTTGCAAGACATTGTTGGCAAGCAAAACAAGAACTCGCAAGTGATCGACTCTTCTGGACACCTAGCCATGGAGCAAAACGGGTTGGTCGCGCACCAACCACCTACATTGACCAGCTATGTTTTGACACAGAATGCCGCCCTAATGACCTTCCGACCTTCCGATGCAGGACCGTGATGGTTGGCGTGATAGATTCATGAATATTTGAGCTAGCTCGTCCGAATAAAATAATTACACCAATTTTATTGTGAAAATATTGACTAGAATCCACAAGATTTTTTAAATAACGAAATCGTTTATATGCAACTGTAATGGTGGACGATTTCATTCAAAGATGAAGAAGAGACTCAAGGCGACAAGGATGTAGTTCTACAGAAGGATGCTAAG